AGCCACAATGAAAGCACGGAGCTGCTTAGGCAGGAGAGCCGCGGACTCAACCGCCGAGAAAATCTGCGCCAAGCACAGCTTCGAGGCGTCAGGCAGAAACTGGTAGTGCCGCATGTGAAAGCCATCCAGCCCAACAGCAGACCTCCTGGAAAAAGAACGCGAGATCGCACGAATCTCATCGGGGACAATCAAAGGGAGCGGCTCCAGCCTGGAGCACCGCAGGCGCCCGGGAGTCTCTTGGGCCCTCCATAGGGCTCCGATCTTGTCACGCTCCGCGCGGAGCAGCTCCTGGGGGTCAGAGACCAAGGGCCCGCATCTGCTCAACGCTGTGGTAGGCCTCCAAGCCGCGGGATCCTTGGAGATCTGGTGGTTCCTACGGGCCCCCTGGTTGATGCCTTCGAGCAGCCGAGCCGACCAGTCTTTGCGAGCTTGCCCCGATAAGGTTTTGACGCACTTGCCGATGTCGTCCTGAATCCGAAGCCCCAGGGAAGAGAGGGAATCGCCAGCAGCGCGGGGGTCCTGAAGCCAAGCTCGCATCGACACGGCCACATCATTGAAACGCCCACCGTAGTCGCCCTGGTTGGAGGCAACATCAGGAGGAGGAGCACTCAAGGCGCTAGCAACAGCCTCCACGGCAGCCGAGATACCTCCCCTCCTCCTATGGCCGTCCTTCCCAGGGTCATCCTCGCCACTGGAAGATGGTGGTTCGGCCTCCAGCCGCTCCGACTCGCAACCTGCAGAGAGCCTGAGAACCGTTTGAAAGTTGGAGTTGAGCCACCGCGTGCTATGTCACACGGGGTAACGAGGCGTACCTCGGTCACGCCCCAGAACGGGCTGCCGCCAAAGCACGACCCCCTTCCCCCTAGCTCCATAGAGCGGCAGAGTAACCCCCATCACTGAACACAGCTCACGTTCAGCCGTGTTGGCCCATTGTTTGTAGGCCATTGCTTGTGGGGGGGGGGGGGGGGGGGGGGGCCGAAAAGAGAGAACATGGAGCTCGGCGAGCCCCGCAAACATTTAACCCTGACGGGAACGTGAGGCACGAACGAGGACGACTGGGAGTCCACCGTGACGGACTGCACGGCGGCCTTCGCGAGGCCTCCCGGAATCACGAAGATGTCGTAGCGCCTGGGGCTGCCTGTCCCAAGTGGGGGCTCCCGTCTCGACCGGCTGGGCCCGCAAGTTGTGCACAAACTCGCACTCATGCAAGACGTCGGGCTCCAGTTTAAATTCGCCGCCTAGCACGAAAGGAAGCCCACGCACAGACAATGTCGCCCCGAGGCGCCCCAAACCATCCAAATTGAAATCGTCGAGCCCCAAAGAGTCTCTGAAGATAGACCGAAGATACCATGACCGCCTGACCTCCAGGCGGGTGGACAAGCGCAGGCCTAACCAGGCCCTGGCCAACATCGCCGCGCCAGCCGACGGCCCCCCTCCAGGTCCAACCTCGCCACAGCCAGAGCCCCCTCGTCCTGAATCTTGTGGCTGCGTGGGCGACAGCGAACTCGCAGGCTGCTGCGACCCTTCGAAGCCTCCAGCATCCTGACTGCGCTTCAAGAAACCGCATCGAGCAAAACGTTGGGAGGAGTTTGCCCAGGAGGTGTCAGGAACCTCTGGGCGCAGATGCCCGGGGGTGCCCGACGCGTCCCTCCCAGTGGCCCTGGGCCCAGGGCCCTCAAATAAAAACCGATCATAAGCCTGGTCACACCAGACATGGCGGTGCCCCGCTCCAGCCGAGGACGGGGACTGCACAGACTGGCTGGATATATTAAAGTGGTGCTGGTGGTGTCCCCCCCGCGTGACACGACCCGTCACTTGTCGGTTGCGGGGGGGGGGGGGGGGGGGGGGCGCCTGCTCTGCGATCTTAGCCGCGTCCGCACGAACGCGGGTCGCCGTCGCCGACGTCGACCTGATCGGCCGAGGCGTCGGGCGGCGAGCAGGCGCCAGCAGGCCGCTGGGCCTCAGACGAGGAGGCATCAGCAGCTCCGTGATCAGCGGGAGAACCTTGTCCGACCAGAGGGCCACCTGCTGCTTCTCCGTCCGCTGTGCGCTGCCGCTTGAGTGCCAGACGAGCCGCGTGAGCGTCGTGGCGCTCCTTGGCCTCCTTGGCGGCGCAGGCCACCTGGGAGAAGAGGTCCTTGGCCATCGTCTGGAAGGAAGCGATGAGGCTGTCTTTCCGCTCGTTGGGCTCCTCCAAGTCCTCGGTGCCGTAGTCGTCGCTCGCGCTGAAGACCTGGCCGAGGTCAACTTTGAAGGAGTCCACTTTGCCATCCAGAAGGTCCTCCAACTTGAGCGTCGGGGTGGTGTCGCCTGCTGAGGTCGACTCTTCCTTGACCTGGGAAGCTGCCACCTTCCTCGCGCACTCCTCGTGGGCCTCGTCCAGTTGACCGAGCTCCGAGGCCATGGCCGCGACCACGGATCGCTGCTGGACAAGCTGCCCTTCCAACGTCTGAACCCCCCTGATCTCCTCGTCGAGGCGCCTGCCGTGCTTGAGGCGCACTCGCTGGACACGGGCGAGTTGATCCTCGAGCCCGGCGGGAGGGGCCGTCGGAGGGCGCCGAGCCGCGAGAACAGATCGAGCACGCCCTGCTTCGTCGGTCCTGCCCATCTTGTCGGCCAGGACGATGAACGACTCCACCTCCTGGTTGGACAATGAGGCGAGGGCCTTGTCGGGGGGCGCGGAAGGCGCAGGCCCAGATTGCAGCGAGCCAGGCATGCGGGCGCCCCCCGTTGCACCGTGGCACAGGGCGAGGCCAGAGCCGCGCGACCACGCCGAGGACGCTGCAGCATCTCGAAGAGCTCCGCAGCCCTCGCAGAAGTAGTAGGACGGCTTGTTCTTGCGGCAGCCGCATGCCCCGCACTGCCACCCTCAGCAGGCCGAGCACGAGGATCAGCATGCTGAGGGCCAGGAGCGAAGAGCGGGCCACTGCTCGCGCCAGGGAGGCTGAGCCTGAGTCCAATCAGCTCCACCTGCGCCTTTCTGGCCGCCCTTGCCGGAGCGCGTCCAGGACGCGTGCCATGGCCGCCACGGCGCACGGCCGTCACCGCCCTTGCCCCCTCCTGAGCCTTTGCCCGCCATCGTGCGCGCGGCGTGGTGGCGGTGAGAATGCCCCGACGGAGCGCGTCAAAGAGGCGGGTTGAGATCCCGCAAACTGAATGGGAAAGAAGAAAGCCACTAAGGCCCGCAACTGCTGTGCGCCGTTCTGAATTTTAGCAGTTGCAAACGCAAGCCAACATGCCTGAGCCAGAACGGCTTTTGGAGGAGAAGGAGGAGGAGGAGGAGGACGAGGAGGAGACACTGATAAGAAGGAGGAGGAGGAGGCGGAGGAGGAGGAGGAGGAGGATGAGGGGGGGAGGAGGGGGGGGAGGAGGAGGAGGAGGAGGAGGAGGAGGAGGAGGAGGACCAGTGTAAACCCAAGAGTCGTCAACTATGTTGCCCCTACAACGGTTCATTTCCATTGATGGAACTGCCTCGTTGGAAGACACCCGTTTGAAGACATTGAAGCATGCCAAGACAGCGGGACTTCAACAAAGAGAACCATCGTAATTGTTGCATGCGCATAATCCGGAATTTTCCAAAACGCCATTTCTGGTACGTTAATGATGGGATTCCGAAAAACCCTTGAACATTTTCTAAACGAATGTGCGCGGCGCTAAGGCGAGTGCCACATTTTGAAAAGGAACCGCCCTCAATCCGTGAAGCTGATGCAACTTGTTACACGGAGTGTGCGCCGCGCTACGAAGAGAGCCACGTTTTGAAAGCGACTCGCCCTCAATCCGTGAAGCTCTTGCGTTTTCTCAACGAATGTGCGCCGCGCCAAGGCGAGGAACACATTTGAAAACCACCCACCCTCAATCTGTTAAACTCTTGCAAGTTTTTAAATCGAATGTGTGCCGCGCTAAGGGGAGAACCACACGTTGAAAATTGCCCGCCCTCAATACGTGAAACTGTTCGAACTCATTAAATCGAATGTGCGCCGCGCTAAGGCGAGAGCCACATTTTGAAAACGACCCGAATTCCATCTGCGAAACGGTTGCCAATTTTTAAGTTTCAGAGTTATGAATTGTAAGGAAATCTCACGCGAAACTCTCGGCCCGCCCTAAAAACTGGCCTCGGGGTGCGACAGGGGGAAATTACTTATACGGAAAAGCAGTGGAGGAGGAGGAGGAGGAGGAGGAGGAGGAGGGCCCTTCCTGGGACCCCCCCCGGGGAGGAGGACCGGAGGAGGACCGGCGTGGGAGAGAGGAAGAGGGGGGGGAGGATGACCCCCAGGGACGGATGCGTATCTGTCCCCCCCCCCTTCCCCAGGACTCCCCCCCCCACCTGGGGAGGAGGACCGGAGGAGGACCAGAGGAGGATCGGCGTGGGAGAGGAGGACCCCCAGAGGCGATGCGTATTTGACCCCCCCCCCCGGGCCTCCACCCCTCTGCTGGGGAAGGGACAAAGGGATGGGGCTTCCCTTTGACGTGATTGCGACGTGGGTCGATTTCTCTCAACCCCTCTGGACTCCTCCCCCCCGACGACGATAGCGTGCTCTCTCCCGCCCGATGGGTGCATATACATTTACATGTATATCTACAGTTACATATACATATACACAGCCATCTTCATATACCTATACATACACATATATATTTCCACGTTTATGCATACATATACGTATACATATACGTGTACACATACATGTGCACACGTTTATTCATACAACATGTATACACGTTTACATCTACATATATTGATACATGCACACATACATATATTGATACATGTACACATACATTTACGTATATATACATACATATTCATGCACACAAGCATATTAACATACATGTTAACACACACATATATACATATATACATGCACATGTGTATGTGTAGGTGTATGTGTATGTACATGTGCAGGTACATGTACTCGTGCATGTGCATGTACACATATATACAACCATATGCACATACATATACATACATGTATCTGTACACATCCGTATAGCTGTGTCGA